CCCCCCCCCCCCCCCCCACAAACAAACGCGGCGGCTTGCCCACGAGCGACATCACCTTGCTTAAGGCGTCGCCGCTGCGCGGCATGCGCCCCCTCGCTTCGCTCGGCCTCGCACCGCCGGAGCCCGTTGCCGCGGCCGCCGCCGGCATGACACCCAAGCTGTCGGCGCTGAGGCGCCACGGGCCTCTCGCGGACGCCGCGCGGGGCAGCCTCGCCCAGGTGGTGACGCGGCGGCGCGTCGAGCTCGCGCGAGCGCTAGTGGCCGCGGTGCGTTGCGGCGGGGCGGCGGCATCTCCCCTCTCTCCCCCCTCACCGCCCTCCCCCCCTCCGTCTCTGCGCCGGCAGGCGAGCGACGGCGACCTGTCCGTCGAGACAATGTGCGTCATCAACGCCGCCATCCTCTTCTTCCTCCTCGCCGACCTCGACGGGCGCGGCGAGCGGGGCGGCGATGGGCGGTGCGGCCGCGTGTCTCTCCTAGACGCCGTCTGCGAGGCGTCGGGCGTGGGCGCGAGCGCCGGGGAGGTGCACGGCGGGGCGAGGCGCGAGGGCGAGGCGCCCTCGTTGGGCGGCGAGGCGCGGGGGGGGGGGCGTCGGAGGACGTCCTAGACACTTCCTAGACACCTCCTAGACACTTCGTGGACACTTGCCTAGGAAGCGTCGGAGGACGTCCCCGCCCTGTCGGAGGAGGCGCGCTCTCTGCTCGAGGGCTTCGGACGGCTGCTCCGGTTCTGGGGGGAGGTGTACCACTCGCACTCGTGCGAGCGGCGGTTCCTCGAGTTCTCGAGCGGTGTGCCCTTCCCCCGCTGGCTCGCGCTGGTCGCGGCCCTCCGCGAGGACATCCGCCACCGGCTCAGTGGCGGCGGCGGTGGCGACCCCGCGAACCGGGCGGCCGCGGCTGCTCCCGCCGACTCAACTGCTCCTCGCAACCAGTGCGTGGGCGGGGAGGAGTGCGAATGCGCTCTCGGCCCGAAGTTTGGGCGGATGGGCATCTGCGTGGAGTAGCCAGCGAGGGTGGGGATCGTGGGCCGAGGATTCGGGCGGGTTGTTTCTGCGATGCAACGTTTAAGTGTGTAGTGTATAGTCCGCGTGCCAGTGTGCCCGAGGGGGAGGAGCACGGGTCTATACGATGATGACAATCTACATATTTTTTATTTCGCTCTCTATCAACAAACCGATCATCTGCAACCTGCATAGGCTGCAAGCCCCTGGGTGGGCCTCGCTAGTGTCTATCTCTCTAGGAGAGTGACATCGAGAAGTCACTTAAAGTGACTCTCGAAGTCACTCGCCCCGCGCGCGCACAGTACGTGCTCTCGCGGCCGGCCCGTGCACCGTGCGAGCCCCGCGGACTCGGCCCCAGTCGGGCCGCGATGGGAGAGGCTCCTAGATATACGCAGCGAACGGACGGTACCTGCCCGCGATTCGCCAAGGGTCAAATGATATCGGCAACGCCCGCCGTCGAGGTCCTTGCCTTCTCGTCCTTGCCGCCGGCGCCGCTGGATGCCCTGCCATTTGCGTCCTGGTCTTGCATGCCCGCCGTCGAGGTCCACGAGAACTGCTCCTCCGCGATGATTGACTCGGCGGTGTTGACCAGGTGGGAGATCGACTCCTTCGACGCCTTCTGAACCTCTCCGAGCGAGCGCCACCACGAGAGCAGAGCCTCGAGACCGCTGATCGCGCTCGAGTAGCGCTCAACCTTGCGCTCGCAATCGGAGAACTCGGACCATGAGGTGACGACGGTGGCCAGCGCCGTCACGGCAGTCACCCACGTCAGCTGCCCGTAGCGCGCGAGCACGGACGCAACGACGCTGAAGAGGATGATCGCCGTTTTGAGCAGCAGCCCCTGCCGCGTGTAGAACGGGATGCGCTTGGCGTAGAAGGCCATCATCGGGTCGATGCGCAGCGCGATGTAGCGCACGGGCTGCGTTGGCGACTGGTGGTCGTCGGCATTGGGGCCCGGGATGCCCGAGTACTGGAAATGCGTGTAGACGTGCTTTGGGTGCTGCCGCTTGAGGTTGGTGGTCTTCAGGCTAGCGCCCGCCATCAGATTGGTGCGCCACTGGTTGAGCACGGTGCAGAGCATATGCTCGGGTCGTGACGAGTCGCGCCTGCTCTCCTCTACCTCGAAGGGGCCCGTGCGTGAGCGGTAGCGCCAGATTGTCGACTGCAGGGCGCAGGCGCCGCTGCGCAGCTGCCGCCAGCGTGCCTTGGAGTGCAGCACGGCTTCGAGAGAGACCAAGATCGAAACGGCCACCGAGAGTGCAAACACAATGTCCTCGATTGGCCACTGCCCTCCGCCCGCATCCTGGCTGAGGGTGGGTTCCAGCAGCTCGTCACCCCCTCCAGAGCCGACGACGACGAGCCAGCTGAAGAAGAGCTGCGCGGCAAAAATCGCCTTGCAGGTGCGCTTGTACCGGCCGGCGAGCAGCATCGCCACGTCGAAGTCGCGCCACGCGTCCTGAAGCAGCAGCAGCCCCTCAAGCGAGTTGCACGGCGGGAGGCGGTCGAGCCGCACGAGCTGGTTGACGAGGCGGTGCGCGCCCTCCATGTTTTGCAGGTTGAGGTTGTAGAAGTTGGGCGAGGAGAGCAGCGTCCTGGCGCAGACTGCCTCACAGTAGAGCTCGTCCTGCCACAGAGAGTGGTAGTCCTCGCCGCGCTCCTCGCGCTCCTTGCGGTCGGGGAGCACGCGCCACGCATCGCTAAAAACACGGTCAGCCAGCCACTCGGCCACCTCGGCAATCTGTCCCGGAGTGGCACACGGCAGCTCGCCGTCCGTGGTGCCATCGTCGCCTCCGTCGCGCGCGCGCTGGATCGCCAGGTGCAGCGGCACGGCAGCGAAGGACATTGCCGAGACGACACCGCCGTCGCCCAGGGTTTGTCCCGCCACCTCCTGGGTGTTGACGTCGCCATCGCCCATCAGAGCGTCGTGAAGGAACGCGAGGGTGCACACATCGAACGTCTCCGCCAGCCCGGCCTGCAGCAGCTTCTCGCACCACGCATCGATTTGCGCCTTGGCTTGTGCGATCAACTCGGAACGCTCGCCCGGGCGCTTCTCCGCCGCCACGGCGACAAGCGAGGTTCGCGGGCCGGGCTTTGGCCACGTGAAGAGGCTGCTGCCAACCACGCTCTCGCTGCCAGCGTCGTTGCCTGCCTTGGCACCGTCGCTGGGTGGGATGGCGGGCTTGAGGCTGGCCGGAAGTGCGTCTCGCTTCCTCATATCCAGCGCTAGGACCGGCGTGCCGGCTTGCGCGCGTGCGGCCGCCATGTCGAGGGAGCGACGGCAGGGGTGGCCGAGTGGGCGCTTGGACGCGAAGCCGGTCTTGATTGCAACAGACGGCACGGAGCTGGCTAGGTGCCGCACCAGCGCCGACATCAGCGTTTGAAACGCCTTCCCGTCCCTTCGATCGCGCTTGGGGTCGATGCAGTCGGTCATGATGATGCAGGATGCGTTGGGATCGAGGTCGATGTTGCTCTTCATCGTCGCCTGCTCGGGCTTGGGGCCGAAGAGGGAGAGCAGCTTCGCGTCGCGCTGGCACCACGCGCGGGACGCCTTGCGCAAGCGGCGCCAGTATGCACTCTCGTTGGGGTTGCGGTAAAGCGACTCGATCGCGCTGCTCGTGCTGATGATCGTGAAGGGCGGCGGCCCGCACCACCTGTGCTTGGTGACGCTGTACATCCTCGTGAATGACGCCGAGAGCAGATCGTTCCCCGTCGCGCCGCAGAGCACAACCGCGTTCGTCTGCGCGGCGAGCGGGATGAGCACGTCAGCCATGAACATGTCGATCTTTGCCGCCGCTGCCCGCTCATCCTCTCGCGACAAAAATGGCGGGTTGCCGTGCAGAACTCCGGCTGCGTGGCTTGTTGCGGCTTGCGCGAACCACTCTGGCGACTCAGACTCGGTGGAGAAGCGGGAGCCCCAGCTGCCCAGCAGCTCGATAACAAGCGAGGGCTTCGGGATCTCGAGCGCGTCGAGCAGCTTCTGGATGCTCTCGGGCGTGGAAGCGATTTGCTCCGCCTGCGGGTTGGTGAGGAACAGCAGCTTCGTCTGCCCGTCGTCAATCTCCTCCACCATGTTGTACATGGTGCGCGCCTTGATGATCTGGAGCTGCTCCCGCGAAAGGTCTTCGTCATCGGCAAAGGCGGAGACCACTGTGCCTACGAGTTGGCTAGAGGCGTGAGATGGAAGCAGTGGTGTGGCTAGAGGCGTGAGATGGAAGCAGTGGTGTGGCTAGAGGCGTGAGATGGAAGCAGTGGTGTGGCTAGAGGCGTGAGATGGGTACCTGTATCCGTCTCAGGCGGAGAGGGTGGCGGCGAGGCGACAGTTGTGAGTAGGCAGTCGAGGTGATCGAGTGCGGCTTGGAGCATTTCACGAGCTTCGGGAGCGCCGTGAAGACGGAGCAGCGCCTCGGCCTGGAGCGGTCCCGGTCTTACGTCGTCTGGAAGGCCCGTGCCAGTCGGTGAGGCCATGTGCTCGACACCACTTGCTCAACCGCGGCTCTGAAAGCTTCGGCGCCCCATACCCCCCGATGAAGCGTGTCAGTCCTTGAGCACTTGAGCACTGGATAGGGTCGATTCCGCATGGTACGGGACCCCTCGATCGTCTCGCCCTCCCTCGCTGGAGTGCTCATTGGGGGGGGTCATAACAAACACGGTGCAGGATCGAGGTGCACGCTGCCGAAGCAGTGTCGTCCCCCCTCTCCCCGACGGACGGCGATGGCGGTGTGACCGATCGAGCTACAAGAGGAGCTTGTTCAGCAGGATCCGGGGTAGTCAGATGCACTACCTCACTGGGCATGAGATCACCGTACGACGCCTCCCATCACCGTCTCGGGTTTGTGTGGGGTCGAACCACTCCGGGATGGGCAAGCCCATCAATAACCTGGTTAATTGTCAAAATTCCTGTTGTGCAAGAGGGGAGGGGGCTCTGACGGAGTGTGAGGCGGGAGAGGGCAGGGAATGGGCGCGGGGGAGGGGGGGGGGGGGGGGGGCTCGGCCGTGCAAAAAGCATCAATTAATAATAGTAAGGAAGACATATTGCCCGGCCGTTCATGAAGTCCGTCTCGATTTTGGTTTTTTCCCCACCGACCACTCGGGCAACTTTTACGAAAGGCAAAGTTTTACTTGACCACTCGGGCAGATTCGATTGCATTTTACCACTCGGGCGAACTCGAGGCAACCCAAATTCTTTTGTTTAAATTCTTCTGGCGGCATGAGCGGCGCCGCGAGCCCAACTCTGGTGCCCGACCTGGCGGTGGGCGACCTTGCCGCGCTGCGAGCCTTCCTCTCCGGGCGGCGGACGCGCGGCAGGCCTGCCCGACACGCAGGACACGCAGGACACGCTGCTGACCTGGGCCGCTCGTCACGGGCAAGCCGAGGCGGTGCGGCTGCTGCTCGAAGCCGGCGCAAGCGTCGGGGTGACGAATGGCAGCGGCGCGTCGGCGCTGTTCATCGCGTGCCGGCAGGGCCACCTCGAGATCGCGCGGCTGCTGCGCGACGCTGGCGCGGCGGTCAACCAAGCAATGAACGGCGGCTTCACGCCGCTGTACGTTGCGTGCCTGAACGGCAACCTCGAGATCGCCCGGCTGCTCCTCGAGGCCAGCGCGGCGGCCGGCCAAGCCGATAACGACGGCTTCACTCCGCTGTTTGTCGCGTGCCGGCCGGGCCACCTCGAGATCTCCCGGCTGCTCCTCGAGGCCGGCGCGGCGGTCAGCCAAGCCGGCAACAATGGCGCCACGCCGCTGCTCATCGCGTGCCAGTATGGCCACGTCGAGACAGCGAAGCTACTGCGCGACGCGGGTGCAGCGGTCGACCAAGCAATGAGCGACGGCACCACGCCGCTGTACATGGCGTGCCAGAACGGCTACGTCGAGATCGTTCGACTGCTCCTCGGGGCCAGCGCGGCGGTCAATCAGGCCGATGAGGACGGCGTTACGCCGCTCTTCATCACGTGCCAGAAGGGCCACCTCGACATCGTCCGGCTGCTTCTCGAGGGTGGTGCGGCGGTCAGCCAAGCTGCAAAGGACGGTTTCACGCCGCTGTGCATGGCGTGCCAGGAGGGCCACCTCGAGGTCGCCCGGCTGCTTTGGTGCTGCGCCCAACCAAGCCAAGGACGACGGCGCCACGCCGCTGATCGCCGCGTGCGCAGAGGGCCACCTCGAGGTCGCCAAGCTCCTCTCCTCCTACGGCGCCTCCCGCGCCGCTACGCCTTTCGGCACGCCCGAGGAGATTGCAAACAGCCGCGGCCACGCCGACCTCGCCGCCTGGCTGGTCGCCAGCCGCGGCTGGACGCCGCTCGCGCACCTTGAGACCCTCACCGCCGCCCGCGCTCTCTCCCTGCTGCGCAGCGGCGCAAGCTTGCACGAGGGCGAGCCGACGCCGCTGCAGCGCGCCGCGGGCGGCGAGGGCGAGGCGGCGGCGCTGGTCCGGCGGGCGGCGGCGCCGTGGTCGCCGGCAAGCCACTCGCTCTTCCCCGCGGCGGCCCGCGCGCGGGCGGCGCTCCTCGTCCTCTCGCTCTACGAGATCCACGAGCAGCACCATCTCGACTCGGCAGGAAACACGAACGGCATCGCGGCGCGCGACTTTAGCGCGTGCGTGCTGCGCTTCGCGATCACGCGCGAGACGCAGTAGCGTGGCGCGCGCTCGTACTGCCGCACGCGCTGTCTTTTGGTGTCTCTATGTGCCACCTGCGAGTTGTGGCCTCGCACACGCAACTGCAATTTCCACAGGCCAGGGGGCACTGTGCCCCCCCCCCCCCCACCCCCGCGCCCCCGCGCCGCCCCAGAGCCCAACACACCGACAATCATCCACCCCCACACCCCTCGCGAGCGGCGGAACCGTCCTTACAGTGAGATGTGAGTGGGTTGCGGGCATTAAAAAAAAACAGGATTGCGCGGCACGCCAAATGCACGCACGACGAAAGAGGCAACACGGCGCTCGAGACTTGGGCTCGCAAGTATAATCACGAGGATGTGATGATCCTGTTGAACCACGCGGACTCTCGCACGGCTGAGGATAGCTTGGTGGCACGGGAGCGAGCTGTGGAGCGAGAGAGTGAGAGAAGCAGAAAATCGGTGGATGCTTCCTGCCATCAGCGCCTCAAGTGGAGCCAAAAAGTAAACCCGTCAGCCGACGCGCACGCGGCTGCGGGCGCTGCGCGGGCGTAAGCCTGCTAGCGTCCGACACTGGCCACTGGGCACGCTATGCTGTGTCCTGTGCCCAGACTCTGGCTGCGCCGGTTCGCTTTGATAGCAAAAAATCTCTCTCTGGTGACCCGCTGCAAAATCGCGGACACAGGGCAGGTGCTTGTCGGCTCTGTCAACCTCCGAGACGGTGAACGCCTGGACGCCAGCGCTGGAGCCCGCGCGGTAAGCGGTGGGAATTCTTATTTTCTCCACGGAGAACCGGAGCGTGTTAGATCATTTTCGAGCTTTGTCGGTCGATGCCTGCTCTCGCTGCTGCCGGCGATAGCGCTGTACCCGTCCCGTTTCCCGCAGCCATCACGCCTCGCGACTGTGCCGGTTCGGCCGATTACCACTGGCGCTCTCGCCCAGCTTCTTCGCTCTCGCAGTGGCACACGGACGCATCTCGAGAGCACTATCTCGCTGTGGCCGCCGTGCAGGCCTTTCTGCTCCGCCTCTCAGCCGACCTAGGCGGCCAGTTCCTGCGCCACTCAGCGTTCGACCCTCAGCACGCGATCCGGATGGCGTCGATTGGTGTCGTCGTGTCTTCAGTTGGTGCGGTGTGGCTGAGCTTTTTGGACCGTGCGGCCTACCTCTTCCTGCTGCCACTGCTCGCTGGCTCGGGACTCAGCGGCGCAGCCGCCTCTGTGCAGGCAAACCTGCCGTTTGCGATGGGCGTCGAGCTCGCTCTGTTCACGCCATATAACCTGTTTGCCTTCTCCATGCTCCCGCTGCACCGCCGGCCACTCGCCTCCTCCGTGCTGTCATCCCTCTTCATCGTCTCCATTGCGACGGTCGTCTAGCGCTCTAGCGCGCTGGCCGCGCTCGGCGTGCTCTCGAGACTTCCCGCTCGTGCGCGCTCGCTCGTCTCGCGCATCGAACGACAACGAGCCGCTCTTCGCCGGCGTGGCGACGGGAGAGCTATGATATTGCTGTGTCTGTGCACATGAGCCCCGCATGTCGTTGTTACTCACATGATTTCATCACTCTGTACTCACATGAATGATTATGTTCTCTTTCAGCAGAGATCTACCTCTCCTGGGTGCTGAGAGCACAACCGTCCAGACACACATGCAGGCGGTCCCGCGCGGCGCGGCCCCGCCGTGCGTGTAGGGAGCGTCTCTGTGGAGTGCGGACGCTGGCTGGCCTTTGCGATGGGAGAAACCCCAGCGCGCAGCGGCTGGCGCGCCGCCGGCGCCGGGCCGCGCGCGCTTGGCGGATGAGTCTCAAGCGTGAGACTGAGAGAGAGCGTGCTCGGCATGCATCAGTCCGGACATACCCCAACGTACAAATCCGAAGCCCCGAGGCACCTGTACCGTCCGCGGTGGTACTCGTAGACGCACTGCATGCAGCCGCCGCTACACATTGCGTACGGAGCGCCACTACCGTATGTCACTGGCGCAGAGGGCAAGTTCGGAGCCAGTTTGGAGCCATGCACGGGGTCCACGTACCAGCTCTCGCAGGATCGCTTTGCCGCCGCCTCAAACGAGGCGGTGCCCTGCCAGCTGATGCCCGTTGGCCCGCCACCGCACCATTCGTTACCAATCATCCCAGTCAGGCGGGCTCTGCCCACAAAGGTCTCTGGTGTGGCACAGGGAGCGGTGGGGGGAGGCGATGGCAGCGACGGGCTCTGGACCCTAGGCTGGTGCGAGGGGTGCGGCGGCAGCGGTAGCGGCGACAGCGATGGCGGCGGCGGCGGCCGCGGCGACGGTGGAGGTGGCGGCGGCGGCGGCGGTCGTGGTCGTGGCGGCAGCGCCAGCAGAGCATCCGTGGGGGGTGGTGATGCAGACGAGGACGGACAGAGACGCCGGTACGTCTCGGGCCCCGCCCGGCACTTGTACCTGCTGCTCTTGCTGTCGTACCTATAGTCACAGAGCTTGCAGCCGCCGCGGCACGGCTCGTAAGGCTTGCCGACCGCGGTAGGAACGTCGAACGGATCCACGTACCACCGCTCGCAGGCTGCTTGCACGTGAGCAATAAAGGAGACATTGCCCTGCCAGCTGATCCCCGTGGGCCCACCGGCGCACCACTCGTCGCCAATTATACCGGTCAGACGGGCTCTGCCCGCAAGCATCTCTCGCGTGGCGCAGGGAGAGGCGGGGGAGGGCGACGGCGGAGCTGGCAATGCATCCCGCGGCACAGACGCAGGCGAGGGCGAGGGCGGCAAGGGCGGCGGCGGGTGTGGCGGAGGCGGGGGCGGGGGCGGCGGCGGGTGTGGCGGGGGCGGGGGCGGGGGCGGGGGCGGGGGCGGGGGCGTTGGCGGGGTCGGAGGCGGCGCGTGAGTGTGCGCCACCCTGGGGCTCAGCTCGCAGTCTGCCGCGTCTGTCTCGCAGACGCCTCCCACGTCCACCCACTGCTCATAGTGGTAGCCCTGCGTCCCAACCCGCACGCGCCGCTCGCAATGACCGTGGTGGTAGCACGGCATGACGCCGGAGCACGGGCAGTCGCAGTCTGGAGCGTCTGTCTCGCACACTCCGCCCATGTTCACCCAATGCTCGTGGTGGTGGCCCTGCGTGCCCACCTGGACGCGCCTCTCGCACACGCCGTGGTGGTTGCAGGGCGTGATGCCGGAGCAAGGGCAGCTCGGTGGAGGTGGCAGCGTCGACAAACGCGCGATCGGGGGAGATGGTGGCGGCGGCGGCGAGGACATAGGTGGCGGAGGCGGGAGAGGCGTCGGAGGCGGGAGAGGCGGTGGGGGCGGAGGGGGGGTGGGCGGCTTAGTTGAGTCAGTGCACGCAACATACGGCGGCCAGTCCATCACGCATACCCAAGCATTGCCCGACTGCTCAAAGACGCACTCGGCCACCTCGCCGTCGTAGCTGACGTAGAAAGACTCGCACCGCCTGTGCCGTTCGGAGGTGTATGGTCCAGAGCTGCCCCCAATCTGCTGGCACCACCGGCAAGATCGTTTGCCATTTGGACACGCGTTGGACTTGGTCAGAGTGAACGGCTGGTTGAGGCCGCATGCCCTGGACGCGGACGACGGTGGCGCTGGTGGCGGCGGGTGAGGTGGCGGCGGCCGGGGAGGTGGCGGCGGCGGCGGGTGAGGTGGTGGTGGTGGCGGCGGCGGCGGTGGCGAGGGCGGCGGTGGCGAGGGCGATGGTGGCGGTGGCGGCAACAGCGGCGGCGGCGGCGGCGGTGGAAGTGTGCGTGGGGGCGGTGACGGTGACGGCGGCGGTGGAAGTGTGCGTGGGGGCGGTGACGGTGACGGCGGCGGTGGCGGCGGCGGCGGCGGTGACGGTGACGGCGGCGGTGGCGGCGGCGGCGGCGGTGACGGTGACGGCGGCGGTGGCGGCGGCGGCGGCGGCGGCGGCGGCGGCGGCGGCGGCGGCGGCTGGGGCGGGGGCGACGGCGGATGAGGCGATGCGGCAGGTGGGGATGAGTAGTATGGTGTCGGTGAGTGAGCTGGGGGCGGAAATGGCGACGTAGGTGGTGAAGGCATTGCGGGCGGGGGTGACGGGGATGGAGGCGGTGGCGAGGGCGAGGGCGGCGGCGGAGGCGGTGGCGAGGGCGAGGGCGGCGGCGGCGGCGGAGGAGGAGGAGGCGGCGGCGGTTTCGGAGGAGAAGGCGGTGGCGGCGGTCGCGGTGGCGGAGGTGGTGGATATGGCGACATTGATGGCGGTGGCGGCGGCGGTGGCGACGGCGACGGAGGTGGCGGTGGCTGCGGCGGCGGCGGCGGCGGCGAAGGATTTGGGGTGGTGAAGGGTGGCGACGGCGGTTGTAGCTGCATCCGTTCCTGAAACGGGGAGCGAGAGCTGCATGAGGGTAAATAGTGACGGATACTGTCGCGGTCTCTCGTCATCTAGTGCGATCACCTCCAGCCAGCCCTTGTACGCCGAGACTCTTGTGTAGACGCCTGGAATGTCGGGGAGCCCACAGCCGACGCCCCAAGAGACGATCCCAATCGCCACGGGCAGCGGTCGGCCCTCGCCAGCGGGGAGGAAGAGAGCGCCGCCTGAGTCGCCCATGCAGGCGTCCTTGAGTCCGTCGCCTCCTGCGCAGAGCATTGTGCCAACGATGTTCAGGTTGGCGACCGGCGGGTTGAGCAGCCCTTGGCACAAGTTGTTGCTAATGACGGTCACCTGCACTGCCTGCCAAGGGCACGGGCACGGGAGCGGGGGCGAGGAGTGGCGCGCAGGCCATCATCTTCTTGCTAGGCGACGGGAGGGTGCGGGTCACATACCTGCAGGTATTCGGCGTAGCCTGTCGCCTCCCCTTGACCGAGCTGGCCAACGATGGACGTCCCCGAATGGCCGTTCATCTGCATCCGGCTGCGTTCGAAGAAGGCTGTAACGTTGAAGTCGGTCGCGTGTACTGGTGCGACCCATCGCGCGGGCTGAGATGGGTCGTGCGGCGTGAAGACCGTGTGTGGTGGCGGCGTGCCGTCCTCCATTTCGCATTTCATCGCATTCCTCTCGACCTCCCCTGATTGACCTCCCCTATGTGTGAAGAGCCAAAGTGTGAAGGACCTAGGATAATTAATAAATAACTCAGGACGTGTCATCTGTGAAGAGCCAGAGTGTGAATATCCTAGGGTACTCAAGAAATAAGTGAGGACTTGTCATGTGTGAAGAGCCAAAGTGTGAAGAGTCTAGGATAATTAAAAAATAACTCAGGACGTGTCATCTGTGAAGATCCAAACTGTGAAGATCCTAAGTGAGGGCGCGTCATCTCTGTTTAGCCACCACTCCACAAGAAAGAAAAAACTGTGCCGCCTGTCTCAATACGGGGATCATGGTGCGGCCCATCACGCTCTTCGTGCGTGGCTCCGCCGGCGTGCCAGTGGTGGTGATGGACGGTGATGACACCATTCTGGACGTGCTGCGTGAGATTCTGCTGCGTATGGCCCGGAAGTCCCGTTGGGCCGGCTCCGCATGGCCTGCCCATCGAGAGGCCGCCTTCTACGTGACGCACAACGGACGGCCTCTCGATCTTGACGGGTTGGTCGGGGATATCCTGCCGCACGAGGCGACGGTGGAGGTGCGAATGCGCATGTCTGCCAGGCTCGAGGAAGAAGAGGCGCTGTGGCTGCAGCAGCTGTCGTGGTTGGAGGATGTCACCGGCGCGGGCTGGTCAAGCTGGCGCAAGCGCATGGGTGGTCGCCATACCATCTCCGGCACTGGGGGTTGACGTTTGCTGAATCGCTGTCCGCCAATCTGTCGATGAGCCGGATCCTGCTCGGGGCGTGCGATTGCGGCGAAGGGACCCTTGCAATTCGTGGGCGGAAGTGGGCATGGCGCACAGCGCTGGGGCACCGCCTGCCCGGGCTCGGCTACGCCCACCTTTCGTTCCGCACCACCGACGTGGAAGCCCTCGAGCTCTCCGGGTACGCGCTGCGCGTCATCTTGCGGCCCCGCCCCTCCTCCATACAAGTGACGACGAGCAGTCCGTCGTTGCTCCAGGATCGCTTTGTGCATCCGATTGGCACTGTCGCGGCGGAGCTAGAGTCGGCGGCGGCGGCGACGGCGGTGACCGCCGCGGCGGCGGCAGCCGCGTCGGATGCGGCAGCGGCGGCCGCCGCGCGATTCGCCACGGTGGGGCCATCACCGGCGGCGAGAAACGCGGCCGTCCGCGTGGCGGAGGCTTCTTCGCAGGCGGCGGAGCTGGCGGCGGCGCTGGCGGCGCAGTCCGAGGCCGATGCGTCCGACGCGGCAAAGGCTGCGGAGAAGCCCAGGCCCGAGCTGCTGCTGGTGTGCGCCGGCAAGAGTGAGCTCAGGACGCTGCTCTACTTGTTGGGCCCGATGCTGCGCTTCGTCGAGTGCAGGCAAACCGTCGGGCTGCTACTCGAGTGCACCGTCAAGGTTGTTGAAGGCCGGGTATTGCACGGTCCTTTCGCCGATGCACTCAAGGTGAAGGACTTGCGTAATACCTTTCCGTCAACAACCTTGAAGGAGCGTGCCCTGGCTACCCCGAAGCCGTGGGGGGCTTACCGAGCCGAGGCGCCCTTGCTTCCGTCGGAGCCCTTCTCGCACGCGCACCACACCGTCGAGGGATGGCTGGGCGCCGTGCCGCGCTCGCTCAAGCTAGACGCGCTACGCTCGCTCCCGCCCTTCCGGCTGCTCGAGCTAGCCGACACGCTGGTGGCGCATGTGCTCGCCTACCTAGACCCCAGGAGCCTCGGATCGCTCGCAAGTGTCTGTCGCGCCCTCGGCGTTGTTCATGTGCACGAGGCGGCGGCAGTGCGCGCGGCGCGGCAGGCGGCGCCCAGGGAGCTGGTCGAGCGGAGTTCGCCGGTGTCTCCGGCGGAGGGTGGGTCGATCCGTGGAGGGTGGGTTGGCTTGAGGGCGCTCTGGGAGTGGGAGGTGCAGAAGGAGGTCGACACACTACTCGTCGACATCGAGGAGGATTTTCGATCGGGCGAGAGCGAGGACGAGGACGAGGACGAGGAGGGGGGGGGAGAGGACGAGGAGGACGAGGAGGACGAGGAGGACGACGACGAGGACGACGACGAGGACGACGAGGACGACGAGGACGAGGACGAGGCGCAGGACGAGGACGAGGACGAGGTGGACGAGGAGGGCAGCGCTAGTGACGAGGAACTCGATGGGGGGACAACAGAGGAGGAGGGCGAGGAATACGTTTTCTGAAGAGGGCCGCGTCCCCGTGAATTCTTCTTTTTCCCACACCGCCACGTGGACACGGTGGAGGTCGCACCCGGGAGAGGGCGAGATGGGCACGCACAGGTGAGGTCGCAGCCCGATCGAATTTGTTTTTTTTGAGAGACGAGAGAACTCGTTGGTGGCTGCGAGCGAGTTCTTTACCCAGGTTGCATGCCAGGTTGCAACCCTAGTTTCGCACGCTCTGTGCTGTGAACGCTGCTGGCATTGGCGTCGGTTGCGCAGCACCCCGTCCCCATCCAGGTTGTTGCATGTTGGTTGCTGCCCCAGGTCCCGCACTATGTAGGGGTGCAATGCCCCGTTCTCTGGAACTGGATCCAGTAGATCATGCTTTATGTTCGGGTACGTGGTTCGCCCGTCCCTGTGTCCCGTCCACGTCGCCCGTCGGCAATAAGCCGACGACCTATGGTGCAATACACGCCGGGCGCCGGCGCTGGTTTGGGGAGGACGCGCCCGCTCGATGCTGCGGGCGGCGTTGACGTTCACAGCGCGCCACGAACTTGGCCCCAGCTCTTCGGTTCGCTCCGCTCGCCGGTGAGTTGGTTGGTTGCTGGCAGCACCCCAGCATCGGATGGTTGGTTGGTGCTCACCTCTGTTCACAGCACAGTGCGAAACTAGGGTTGCAACCTGGTAAAGAACTCGCTCGCTGGTCCGGACTGCCTGGCACGGACGTCGCTTCTGCTGGGGCGCGCTGATCGTGTGGGCTTGCTTGCAGCCGCTGATCGTGCGGGCTTGCTTGCAGCAGACGCCTTCGGTCCCACAAAAATGGATAGCGTCTCCGCGAGCGTCGCTGCTCGCGCGGAAGCGCTGCTGCAGCACGCCACTCTCGGAGCTTGGTGCCTCCACGTTGCACCTTCACAGCGCCCACGAGAAGGCGACGCGGCTGGGAGTGACCATGTCTCGCTGCAGTCGCAGAGGATCAAGGCCTCGTCCCATGCGTGTCACCGCCAGCTGGTCACCGCGCTTTGGCATCAAAATTCTTTGTTTGCGAAGACTTGCCTTCAAGACGCGCGGGCGCACAGTGGATCACGGTGCCCCCGCCACGCCTGCACCGCCTCTTCCACGCTGGGAAGGAGCACGTTCTTTTTTTTGTACCATGAGCCGTGCACAGCCATCCCAGACGCTCTTCCTTCCCGAGCTTCCGTCCGACATCACCGACGGCGTCCTCGAGCGCCACTTCCGCGGCTTTGTCGGCTACGAGTCGTGCCGGACGCGCAACGATCGCAACGGCAAACTTGTTGGCTTTGTCGAGTTTGAGAGCATCAAGGACGCGTCGCGCGCGCGCGAGTCGATGCAAGGCGCGTCGCCCTTTCCGGGGCGTC